TTTGCTGTTACTCAACTTAAGGAAGTTCTGTGCCATCCAGGGAGATACAGCTGTGTGTCATCAGCATAGGAGCGGAAGGAGATGTAGTCTTTTTTTTAATAATTTAGCCGAGAAGAAGCAAGTACAATGAAAAGAAAATGGGACCTAAGCTGGATCCTTGAGGGACCCCACAGGAAAGAGTGGCTGAAGAAGAGGAGTGATTTCCTATCCTGACAGAGAGGCTTCTATTTTTGAGGTAGGAATGAACCATTGTAATGCAGTGCAACCAATGGAGACACCAAACTGGATGTGTTGTATCAGGTGTTGTGATCCACAGTGCCAAAAGCTCACCGAGGTCAAGAAGAATTAGCTGTGAAACGGCTATAAACAGCTCAGTTGTTAGCTACGACAGACCCAGTAGCTAACGATATATATTTTTAATGGTAGCTAGGTACTGAAGTTAACAGTGGACCCCCTATAGCAAGTGAATTAACTTTTTAATTCTTGCTAAATACTGAAGCTAAGAATAGCTGCCTAAGTATAGCTAACAACAGCTAATTTGTAAGCCATTGAGATCTACTGTAGCTAATGTCGTACTTTAGCTAACAAAAGCTAATTTTTTGGCAATGGTAGACCCAATAGCTAACAAAATATATTTTTAACTAGCTGAAGTTCACAGTAGACCACCTATAGCTAGTGAATTAGCTGTTAAACTGTTGCTAAATAATGAAGCTAACAATAGCTGTCTAGGTATAGTTGACAACAGCTAATTCGCCATATAGAGCTACTGTAGCTAATGTCTAACTTAAGCTAGCGAAAGCTCATTTGTTAGCCATGGTAGACCCAATAGCTAACACAGTATATTTTAAACTATAGCTAAGTACTTAAGTTAACAGTAGAACCCCAATAGCTAGTGAATTACTTTTTTAATTTTTGCTAAATAATGAAGCTAACGATAGCTGTCACACTATAGCTAACAACAGCTAAATCGTTAGCTACTGTCGCTCCTGCATTGTTGTCTTTTCTCTTTATTGAATCCAATGGTGGAAAAAGACCACACTGTCAAAACTCAACAAGCACTGTAATCTCGGTGTGTTTCCAAATTCTTTCAATCATGACACTGAAACACAGAATGACATTAAAATAATTAAAATCAGTTATAAATCGCCAACAATGTTGACTACTTTAGTGCCTATATTGCTTCAATCAAATTACCAGTACCAACATTGTCAGTTGTTATAAAGATGCATGTCCCCTTGGAACAAAACTAGGCTAATGCCGGGGTTGCTATCAATGCAGAAAAATAAATACAAATTCTTATTAGAATTTTAACAAAATAAGTTCAAAACAAACACCAAGATACTAAATTCTTAACAAAAAATAAATTTATATTTCTAGGCACGTAGGCTACCATTGGACCTCGTTAGACTGGAGAAACAGTAGTGTCCTCACAACTAAACCAAAATAAATCTGTCTATGCTATTGTCTGGAGTGGCACTTTGTTTACTGCGTGTCTCTGTGTCAGATGGGTGGACGCCTGCACTTGAACTGCATTTCTCCGTCCTCAGGGGGGTTCAGCAGGAGTGACACAGTACTTCACTTCACATCCACTTCACCTGCCTGGTAATGGAACCCTGCCTGGATCCAAGATGGCATCAGCGTGACCACTGCTGACTTCCGATATGTCCGTCTTTCAGTCAGGTGTTCAATGCAATGGTAAAGTTCCCTTTATCCTAGATCTGTCCTATATGTAAGTGTAGGGGAAATCTTTGTTGATTGTTGCACCGTAGAAACACATTTTAGCAACCACAGTTACAAAACAAATCAGGTTTAATCCTTGTTGCGGTAGGAAACACTACTTTTCAAACTCACAGTTTACTTTTCTCCACCACAAGCCCTCAGAGTACTTTCAGGTACAACTCCTGTTAGACACAGATGTGCCATCAAATGTTTTATTTTTTGTGAAATGAAAAGCTGCTTAAATTTATCTGGATGATATGCTATGAAAGAAAGCCATTAGAAGACAAGTCAAGTCTGTTTAATTTATGCAGCTCAACATAGTCTCAAACAGCTTTACAATCTGTAACCTCTCCAACATATGACACCCTATAGAGCCTCAGTTCAGATAAGAAATACACACATGGTGCAGAGTGAAGCAAATCTACCAGCCACTTGCATATTTACCAGGATTTAGCTGGTAGATGGTGCTAATACTGTACTCTGATATAAATTAATTAATTTTGCCCCACCTTCATCAATGTCAACATCCAAGAGATGTACACATTTATAAACCAGTAATTAGAATTCAGTGATACATTATTCTGAAATGTGCCACTCTGCATAATAAGTACCCTGCTTTTACTTTTGGTACTTTTTGATGTGCTTTTACTTTGGTAAAATTTTGAATGCATGACTTATTTTTAACAGTATTTTTACACTGCCACATTGCTGCTTTTACATAACTACATGATCTGAGAACGTCCTAAACCTGAACACTAATATACAAACTATGTAAGGTCAGGAAGAAAGACATTTAAAAAAAGGCAAGATAACAGTTATAATGAGGATATTATGTAAGTAATGCTCTTAATATGTACTAAGCCAAAAATTGTTAAAGATAAAAAAAAACAAAATAAAAAAACAGGTAACAATATAAAATCTGTTGGGAACATTTGCAAAAGTTGTTATCAAGCTAAGGCTACGAGTATACAGAAATACTTTTTTGATCCCCGAGGGGAAATTGTTGGTTGTTATACCCGTTATAGTGTAAAACTTCAATTAAAAGCCTCGTCCCAATTCAACGCCCAGCCCCTTTCACTAGCCCTGTGTGGCTACACATTTTGACAACTAAAGGCCTGTCTCAATTAGAGGCCTGGTCTGGTTGCCAAGCAGTTCATTTTTTTTATAGTATTTCTTTGGATGTGTAAAACCAGGTTGTTGACTACCCACCTGAACTAACATCAGTTAGCTGGTTGGATAACACATACAAATATAAATGTTTAAACTTTTGTTAATATGGAGATGCTACCTATTGTTAGCTCAGTTAGATTCTCCACAATCCAATCATTCAGTTTATTTTACCGAAACCACAGGCACCAGAGACGACCGTTACTCATCCAGATGTACCGGGATGACGAAAATAAACAAGTGGTGACTCCCTTCCTCTGAAGCTGCCATAAAGTCAGAATATGTGTCCATTCCTCGATTACCAGGTAAGTTACTCACGTCCCTTTAGTCCGTAAGGGTCCACTGCTGAATAGAATCAAAGAGGGTTTTCGTAAAAATGTATCCATGAATGAATATTGAATATTGTTTAACAGGATAAAACGGTGTTGTGTCGATATGCCAGGTGCCGTAATCCTCTTTGACGCCTTGTCTCTTGGAGCCACATTAAATGAATGGTTGACTGGTTCAAATAAACAATTGGATCATATTTTCCGATCTTTGCTGAGCAACAGTTTTGTATTGAATGAATTAAAGGCCTGTCCCATATAGACGCCTGTTGAGTTCAGTGATTTAAGCAAATAGTAGCCCGGGCTACTAATTGAAATTTTACGATAGCTTGACTGATTTAGCTAGTAAGCTAGCTAGTATGTTCGCCATACTATCCATTGGCTATCAACACAGGTACTCTTGCTGCTGGCCTTCATTCTACTTAACTCAGACCTGTTGTCCTTGTTCATGGTCACTTTTTTGTGCCATCTAGTGGTAGTAAGAGCACAATACACTAATCCATGTAAAAACAAGATGGCAGCCATCTCGGCCAAGTTAGTCTGCAGCTAATCCCGAAACAAAAGTGGAGAAGATAAAAAATCTGATCAGATTTATTGGTTGAAACTTGATTATTTATGATTAATAACATATGTAGTTTGATATGGCAACAAATTTGACCAACTTTAGCAACGGCAACAAGCTAATACGCTGTTAACTGAAAAGTAATCATTTGAAGACAAGTATTTAGTTTTTTATAGTCCTACTAATCCCAAATAGCAAGGTCTATATGTGTGTGTTCCCTCTTAAAGTCAGTGGGTTTTTTGAATTAGGTTAGATGTCTGAAATTAGGTTGGTAATTGACACAAGCTTAAGAAACGGTAACGTTTTGTTCTATATCATAAAATATGACAGTAAATACCCCACTCGTGAATTTTGAGGCTTTTACATGTCTTTAAAAATGCGTTGCTAACAAGTAGCTAAATGAAACTGCGGAGGGTCGTCAAGCCGACCACAACTTTACAGCATCATTGTGTTGGGGATGTTAAATCATGTGACCGTAATGTAGTTTGTTTATAGCCTAAAGTTAGCTTTTTACTTCGGTGACTGAATTCAGGCTTCAAAAATCATAAAAGTGGGATCATATTGAACACAACATGTAAGTATCATAAATGGTTGATTGCCTCAGAGTTTGTTTTCTTCAATAATCCAAAATCCAGTGGAAAGATCACATAGGTTATTTGACAAGGGAACCAACGTCATCCCCAGAGCACTCTGTTATAGATTATATTTTAAATTTTATCTCTGCCTGATCAGCATTTTACTTTCTGAGTAATATAACATTGAGTTCCCGGTGTATAAACCAGAAAGCTGCAGAAAAACAGCAAGATTAAAACTCTCCCCTCTACTCCAGCTTTAAGGTCAGGACACTCTTTTTTTTATCGTCCATGTGTGTGTGTGTTAGGAAGCAGTGTTTAGTTTTTTTGGAAGCTGTCCTCAGTTTTGCCCAATGACCTGTGCTTTACTTCCAGGTCACTGCCTTCTGCGGGTCCGGCACTCCCAACAATGTATCCCTTACAGGAGAGGGAAGAGCTGGCCGTTCAAGCAAGTCCCTCTGGAGACTCTTCAAAACACAGTTACCATGGACACAAACTTGACCGGGAGAGGAGTGAGGAGTGTGTTTGTGTGTACACACACTGTGCGCGAGGAAAACGAGAGGGAGAGGGGGTAAAGAGAGGACTGTGTGTGTGTGTGTGTGTGTGTGTGTTAGGGGAGGGGGTGTGCAGGTGCAGTTTGCATGTGTGTAACTTTAAAAGCATGACAAAATTATGCGTAAGTTTGGTGCGTATTTCCTGTTGAAAAATAACTCCAAAAGTCCAAACTTTTTTTTAATTATAAAAGCGCACGACACTTGAATGTGACCATTGACTTCTCCGATGCTTACCGCCTGCAGCCGTGCGTGATTGACTGCCAGCAATCTGATCCAGTGAAAGACATTGACGACCAATAGGAAGCGGAGTGCGGCTTGTTTCCATGGGAGGCCCCGGGAGGCGATGCCAAGCCGCTAGAAAGCAACACAGTGAGCGGGGAGAAGCGCAAGCAGCAGCCGGGACTGTGGAGATCCTGCAGCCGCTCCGTGGCACTCTGCGCGCGGATGAAAGCGAGGTCGCTGGGTAAGTACGTGTCAGTTTCTCCACACTTCCTCTGCTCCATAACTTTATTCTATCGTGTAAAACATTTCGGCGCGCCCTGCAGCCCAGCTCGCTCCTCGATTACGCACGAAATTTGCAGATTGTCAACTTAACTTTACAGCATCGCCGGAGGTGTTGTCGGTGATTTCCGTCTTAAAACCATCGCAAGAGGTTCCTGAACTCAACTGTGCCTTAATGAATGAAACTCAGAGACATCCATTCATGTGCTCTGTCTTTCTGCTTTCTATCCATCTCGCTTCTTTGAAGGGTGACCGGACAGGAGACTCTGAGGACTCTGCTCGTCAATTAAAGCCACAGCGGTGCAGCATGGATAGATTTCACGACCAGCAAGTGCCTTACTGTAACTCCAAAGTGAGTTATCATTAACCAAAAAAACAAACTTGGAAGCAAATCAAATAACAGATGCAGAACTTTCACATCATCTTTAATATCTTTCCTGCTTGTTCTTCTTTCTAATACTTTTCTATTTCTTCTGATCTCATCTCTTGTCTTTCTTCCTGCTGCTGCCAAGACTCATTTCTCTCTCAGGGACCATTTAAGTTTCATCTAATAATCAAAGATAAACAGCTAAACAAGGTGCCCACTACTACACTGTTATTGGTCATGCACCATGTTAATTATACCTGAAGCACAGGTCCCTTTGCATGGCTTTAAAAGGCATCAATGAGTGGCTCTTTCAGTTGCATGTGTGCAGCAGCCAACAACAGAATCACTGCTCCAATGAGGAGAAGAATAAATTGATTTGTGTCTTCTTTCTTTTTTTTCCTTTGTTTTTGTTGCAGAAGCCGCAAGAAAAGACAACGAGCTGCGAGAGGCCAGCAAATGACAGAAAGAGAAAATTCATTAAGTCCGACCTGGCTTTGGACACTGAAGGTAGGCAGAGGGCAGGGGGAGAAGTTAATTTCACGGCTCCTAAACATTTAGCAAAATTCAATTGGTTTGTGGCCACCTGCGCTGCTAACTACAGAGTCTCAATTACAACACAGCGGCCTGTGATGAGTCTCACAAGGCTCTGTCAGTGGTCAGAGACACAAATTGACTTGTTATTAGCTGCACACGTGCCCACTGAGCTCCAATGGCTCTGACGGCGTATCAGCCCGCTGTAATGAAGTCAGTTGTTTCTGATGCTCCTCCAGGGCTTTGACTGTGTTTTTTAACTGCCTTCAAGCCTTGTTCTCTTGCTTCGTTTCCCCCCCTTCCAGAGCTCTTCCAGGACCTCAGTCAGCTGCAGGAGACTTGGCTGGCGGAAGGTGAGTGTTTTAAATCTCGAGCAAGAAAAGGAGGAGAGATGGGTAAAAATGGATAGGTTGTGAGGGGGGAAAAAAGCTGCCTGGAGTTACAAGCCTAGCGTCGCAGTCCAATTAAAAGCCTGTGTGGAAGAGGCACCTTGTGTGTCATGCATACATTAGAGACTGTGAGAGAGGGGTCTTGAGGGAGACCGAGGAGGCTCTACCCAGAGAGTGTCATCACAAATTACCAGGAGAAGGCTCTCCGACGCTCACTGTCTCTTCTGCTTTTGGCAGGAGCTAACACGCTGCACGCCAGCAACCGCCACCACCTCCACCTCCACCAGAGCTCTGCTGTAGCCTACCGGCTCTCTCTCTCTCTCATCTGCTCTCCCCCTTTCTCTCCCTCCCTCTCCCTCTCTCTCTCTCTCTCTCTCTGCTTCCTCTCAGCACACCTCTCTATCTTCTCCAGCTGTACCATCACCTTGTCTTCTTCAATTTCATTTCTTGGCGGCAAGAAAAAAAAAAAAAGAATGGATCTATAATTTTTCTTTTAATCGCAGACTTTTAAAACACCAGAATCAGTCTCTCAAAGCAACGATTGATTTTTACAGAAAAACATATTTATCAATTTCTTTGCTTTTTTAATATATTTTTTTCTCTAATGGCAAGACTTGCTCATTGTGGTCTAACTGAGACGTGATGCTTCAGGATTTAAGTGCGAGTGTCCTCTTTCCACCGTGTCTGCAGCACCGAAGTTTTGGTTAGTGGTGAATATTGTTCATCTTATTGACTTTTTTTTATGTGCATGTGCATGTTCCACTTGGCTTCTTTGCTTGACTGTTGTATTTGCATCTCACTCAGATGCGAATTTCTTTGAATATTGCATGTAATCTGAAAGTTTGTATCTCAGTAGCGTGCATATTTTAGAGTTTGGAACATGTTCAGGGTTACTGGAAGTAGTTTTTGATTTTAAATCCAGACAGTGTGAATTTGTGCAGTGTGTAAGCACATCATTGCTTGGAACAGGGGATTTAAAGTAATTTTTGCATGTATATAAGTCAAAAAGTAAAGTATTTTTTTATGCAAATTGACCAAAGCAGTGGTGTTAAAATTACGTTTATGACACTTGGTAATGATAGAAGGCATCTTCCCTTTACTACACCGTACTGGTTTGTACATACGGTGTTATAAGAGTAGAAAAACCAAATTGTTTTGTAGTAAAAGTTTGCGTTAATTTATTTTAAAAAATAATTTATATGTGAAAAATGTAGTGCTTTAAAAAAAAAAAAAGCTCAGTTTTAATGTGTAAAATTACTGTTAGGGTTATTTTTAGTCTTTTAATTAAAATTTGGATAATTAGAAGTTGTGAGAACAGATCCACATCTAATGTACGAAGGCTCAAATATATCTTTTTATCAATATTGTGCTGTTTTATTTGTGTAAAATAAGCCAATTAGAATTTGAATTTTTGAAATTAAACATTTTATATCATGTCATTGCAGCAATAAAATGCCAGCTGTATCTATTTCAACACACCAGTCAGTGCTCAGGTTGTAAAGCCATAATTCTAGCTGTAAAGTAGAACTCTCAAGTGCACGCTGTAATTCAATCAACTTTAATACTTTTTATAAAAATAAGGATTGAGTCGTAATACATCCCCTGGAAAAGTGTCAGGAGAAATTTTAGCTTGCACGCCTCACACAGGTGAAGAAGACTCTCAATCATTTATGGGCTCCATCTATTCTTTAACACATTTGAAAATCCTCGCAGTGCAATCCAAAGCTTTTAAAAAATGAAAAGTATGCTTTGAAACAGATATTGGAGTAGTTGAGTAGGTGAATCTGAGCAGCAGTTAGATTATGAGGCGGCGCGGCGCGGTGCACACCGCAGGGCGTGTAAAAAGAATAAGACATGATTTTAATATTTCAGTATCCAAAGTGAGAAAAGAGACGGCGGCGGCTGATAAGAGGTATTACTGTTAAAGATTACAGTTCTGCCTGTCATGGATCAATGTGATGATGTGCGCGTCCAGATTGTAGATTTAATGAATGACTTCCTGTCCATTAAGATGAAAAGGAATACCTTCCCATTTCTAAGATTTATTAGTTCAGGTAATTGGAACAAGAGGAGGAATTATGAGAGACAGACTGAATTTCCGACTCAAAGACCGAGAGGTTGAGGGTGTTTGTCAGCTGACAGGCGCACGCTTGACCCCCACAAACCACTTCTCCACCTCCACCTCCACCTAGGTTTTTTTTTTTTTTTTAACTTAAAGTACCTTTTCTATTGGGGGAAAAAAGTCTCATTAATTCTAGAGATTTCTTATCTTTTTTTTGTTGTTGTTGTTTATACAGTGATATCTCACAGCATAATTTGTCTCTGAAATCAGCGCAGGCAAAATGTGAAATTTGTTTAAAACTCCACCTCGTTTGCAGAGCTGTCGCAGGGTTTAGGAAACGCCTCTGATTGTGTCTCCTGCTCAGGCCTCGTGTTTACAACTTCTCCTTTTTCATCCTTGCTCCTTTTTTCCCTTCTGTCCTTCCTTTCTCTCTTTTTTTCTTTTTGTTTTTTTGTGAATGGCGGCAGATTTCCAGCTCTGCCGTTCTCCCCAGGAGTTTGTTGCAGAGATCAGCTGGCTCATTCACAGACTGAGGCCGGTGACTCATCCATCCTGTACTTCCTTTTTGGACACAGAAACACTGCTGCCTTCTTTTTTTTTTCTTTTTTTTTTGTTTCTCTTCTCTCTTTGTCCCTTTTCCAAGTTAGGTTTTGTGAAGTTTCTGCAAGTTTGTTTGAGTTGTAATCGTGAGACTAGAGCTCTCTCTGAGTTCCATTTTCATTTGCGTATTTTTCATTCTTGTGTCGGTTTTGCAGATGTGTATGTTGTGGTTTTGACTACTGAAGACAAAAGAGAAAAAAAATATGATTTAGAGAGTCAAAGCTTTGAGGCTTCAGAAGATTTGAGTATGCCTTAACATGTAAGGACTTCCCTTCGTATTTGTTTTCACCTAATAGATAATTCAAATTATCTTGTCGTGGCCCTTTAAGAAAGCAGGCAACAAAGTGGAGTAATACAGCAAACTTGTTTCCAGATCAGACGTAATTAAACCAGGTTGAAATACAAATTGCGTTGAAAGCAGTTGCATACAATAGAGAGTTGATGGCTTTAACCACAGCAGAATCTGGAGTGAAGTCATTACAAGTCTTTGTTTGCTGCTCTCTGCACCCGCTTGACGTTGTTGGAAAATATGGAGCAATTTCTCCTCTTGATCTGTTGATTGTTTACTCTCCTCAATTCACACCTCTGGTGAGAAAAAACATCCCTGATCACATCAAGAGTGACAAAAAAGGAACATCAGTGATTTTTTTTCCAAGATCTCTCGACATGTTGAGGCATGTTACTGATCCTGTGATAATGAGGATCCACCTCATTGTGTGTATAAATAGATGTGCTAATGACACAGTTAAATCTCCTTTTGCCTTTCGCCAGAGAGAGACGAACTTGAGGGACACGGAGAACTGTCACTGAGTGTAAATATGTGTGATATAAATATGTACATGTCTAATTGGAGCCGGAGCAGTGCAGACTTCATTATTTTAGCATTAGGCCGAGTGCAGGGGCGTTTGAAGCGCAGGTGAGGCATTGGAAGGTTTGGAACAGACCTAACTCGGTAGGTACAGGTGGATTCACCAGTAGGGAAGAAGCCAATTAGATACTGTTAACAATGGGTGTTTGGCTGCTGGCAAGGAGTGAGAGCCGAGGCTGCGGAGCAGTCAATGGACAAAGCGACCTCAGGAAGTGGAATTAGGAAGTAGACGGCCACCTAAAGCAAAATATTAAATCCCTCGCAGGCTGGCGTTTGTTGGAAAAATTACATTCTACAACTTCTTTCGTAAATCAGGGAAAACATATTGCTCATAACATTTCAAGGTTATTTTGTACATGGTTGTTGCCAGATCTGTAATTATGGTGCATTTCCTGGCTGTTCACAAGTCTTTTATTTTTCTATTGTTAAGCTACAGAACTCTGATTTTATTAAAACAAGTGAAAAAATAATAATAATACAAATCAACCTGAAATGTTTTAGATATGAGTGTTTGTATGTTGAGACAAGACTGTTGCACTAAAAGGAAAACTACATTGAGATTTGGTTTAATTAAATTTTAAGTCACAAAAATGGAAATCTGAACAACTACAACCGTGAAGTCTTCATCTGCTGAGGAAGATTGTGTAAGACGATTGAAAGCTCTAAAATGTCGACTAAACGGACTTTGTTGTGAGATTGTTTTGTTATGTAAAATCTAATTTGATTATTTTTTAAGGAGATGATTTGTTAAAAAATAATCTAAATTTTGATGTTTCTAAAGTAAAAAATACAAAGACTTCTAGAGTTTAGTTTTGATTTTTTTTTTTAGTTATGACAGCATATACAAGATTACTGCACTTTTTTTTTAACATGGGCACCAAGGAAAAACAAAGTACTCCTTGCCCTGATTTCCTGTAAAACATATTTTTCGCAGCTGTGTTCTTGAGCCGACAGCAGAGGCAAACAATGCTGGGATAAGCCAACCTAATATCCCAGGAGACTGTTTGCCAGAGGAGGGTACTGGGCTGCAGAGAGCTGTGATCAATGCTGCGTTGTCCATCAACATCAGAAACAATCATTCCCTTTCTTCTTCTCTTGCTTGTGTCTTTAGCTCAAGTTCCCGACAATGACGAGCAGTTCGTTCCAGACTTCCAGACTGAAAACTGTGAGTAAGAGGCCACGTCTCTTTTCTCTCTCTGTGTCTGTGTGCACGTTTGTGTTTATGTGTGTGAACATCTGTGGTGTTTTTTTTTTATCTTTCCACTCGTCTCGACTGGTGTGTTTGTACTCGGGGAGAGTGCATGTGGCGGTGTGTGTTTTTCCGTGTCTCTCGGTACCCTCACCTTTGCTCGCACAAGTGCTCTCTGGAGAGCTGCAGCAGTCTTGCGGGTCTGCAGACAGGTGCATGGGTGGAGGAAGGTGGGGGTGGGGGGGTGGGGGGGGTGTCCTTCTCCCTCTGTCTCTCTCTAGCTCTATATCTGTCTCTCCCTTCCCTCTGTTGCTCATGTACCTCTCACCACCACTCAGATATTATTGCACTGTAATTTATTTGCATAAACATCACAATATTGTGGCAGATTTTTTTCAGGGGGTTGAAGTGATATTTTTAACTCCAGGTAGGCCAAACTGCTGTCAATTGATGGCTTTTTATAATAAAATCTTTTAAAAATTGCTCCTAGGTAACCTCTCCTCGAAGAGCTTTTTGTGCAAACCATCGAGTGTGGTTAGATTTTCTAAATCTGGCAGTTTAATATTAGTTAATACTACATTTATCCTTCCCAGTTGAAGGCTTGTTGGCCTTCTGGTATACAGCTTGAAAGTAAGCATGATTTTATTTCCTGCTTTCTCTATTTTTTCCCTGCAAGAAAAACAATTTCTAAGAATACTCTCCAAGAGTTTGATAAAAAAAAATTCCATCGCTGGACCTGAGCTGATCTTACACTCACATTAATAAGGACGAGGTAGTTAGCCGTACTTCACCTGGTCGTGCACGGTGGCTGCACATGGTGACTGGTGACTTGGCACGGTCCACTTCTGGGGGAAGTAGTGCCAAGGTGGGGACAGAAATGGAGTGAGTGGAGCTCAGTGGGACCCGGAGCGAGCACATGTCTTTCAGATGAGCCAAAACGCCCATGAAACTGTGAGAAAAGACACAAAATAAGTCTTCCCTATGTCCTCTACGCCCTTTAACCTGGAAGTAAAGTTGGACAGAATACAAAAGTGTGAAACTAGAACAAAGAGAAAAGGTCACATTTGATATTGTCATTGGAAATCTCCTAGTCTTAGATTGTACGATTTTAGAAAACATAAAGCTAGATCTCGGACCTTTTAACCTCTTGTGAGCCAGATCACAGCCTGAGATCCTCCAGCAGGTTCCTGTTGGTTGCCTAGATTAAAAACCAGAGGGGGGTCTGTGTTTTCTCTCTGTCTTTTTATCATCAATTCTCAGGTTGATGAGAACACTTTCATCATCCTTTTAAACACTTCTTACAAATCTTGCTTTAATGTTACAAACTTAATGCATGCCTTTAAATGTCATACCCGGATTTGCAACTTTTGTCGTCGATTTTGTTGAATTTTCTTCATGAATTTATTTATTTAGACCTATTTTTGCTCCTCATTCTGAACAAAGACGAGCTTAGAATAAGTAAACCATAGTTGTGACGAATCCTCCCGTGTCCTTGAATATTTTGCCCTCTGAGATCCTTTTCATTCATCTTGCTTGACTTTGTATTGTTCAGAATGCCACAGCAATAAATATAAAACCTGACCCATGGGTGTGAATTACCTTGCCCTAAAATCCAAGATGGAGGAGCGATGTTGGTGTACAATAGAGAACCAGAGGTCACCGAGACTGTCCCGTTGTCCTTCAGAGGTAGCCAGGGTGGGTGGCCATGGTGGCAGGAGACTGCTGACCATCTGAATTGTCCTGTTGGCAAACCTGCAGCAGACTGGAGAGGCACTAACAGATGGCGGGAGGGTGAGGGCACCGTGGTTGGGCACTCGAGCAGGCATCCCAGCCGGCAGCTCTCCCATATGGGTTTCACCGAGCCGAGAGATGGAGGGGCGGACGGTGGGGTTGAGAGACAGAGATGGAAAAAGATGTAGCTAGAAGTTGTGAGACTGAGAAGAGAAGGACAGTGAGTAAGAGTGGAAGTAATTACATGTAGTAAATCTCAATACTGCAACAAAGCAGCTTTGATGGGTACATTAAGAACAGTCCTAGCGATATACTATATTCTCCTTATTGTCAACAAATCCTACGAAAAGACCCAAACTAATCAGCGTATCAAAAGACGAACATCTTTTTCCTCTGTGCTACAGAGCTCCACTGTTGTCGTCAAACTGTTAAAGAGTTCCCAACAAATGCATTGTTTACTCCTCCTTGAGTTATGTTTCCTAAAACCTAAAGTGCTGAGCTGTTTCAGGAAATTGTGTACTGGTATTTAAAATTTGAACGACATGTTTGTGACCTGTTTTTAAAGATTTGTTGTACATCTTTAAATGAGTGCGCATGGGGGGCGAATTACTGTAAGTTTTTATCTTTTCATGGGATTTGTTGGCAATTAAAAAATACAAAATAACAGCAGCCTTGTCCTGTAAAATATTTCTGTAGTCCTTTACTTGAAAACAATTGGTGTTGCACTGAGATATAAAATAAAAAAAACTCCATTGCAGTTTAATTAATTGTATTACTTTTCATACAGCATTAGCATCAGTTGTAAATCTTACCTGTATCAAAGTTTGTTTAAACCAAATATAAAGTTACCTATCTTCAATTGTAAAAGCTGGAGCACGTCTTTGACGGAGGCATAGCTAGCGTTAGCCAAAATGTATTTTTTCCTGTTGTGTTGCTAGCTAGTTTGCTATTTGTGCTAACTAGTTAGTAGTATTAGCAAAAAAACAATTAGTGTAGCAACAATAGCATTTCTTTAGTGTTATCTGTAAATGCTGAAACATGCATAGCAGAGTTAGCATTGGCCAAAATTTGTCCAGTTGCGTCTTTAGCCTAATTGCTAGCTAGGAGGCTGTCTGTGCTAGCCAGTTGATAGCATTAGCAAAAGAAACAACAAGCCCTGCTGGCAACGGACATTAAAATGACACCAGAAAGACGTTGCACTGTTACGTCTGGCAGATGTTAAATTTTGGTTAGAATGAAAATGAGGTTGAAGATATTTTAAATGTCTAATGACAATAGAATTTCAGGTTGTATAGACATTTTGCGTTTTCAATATTCTAGGTCAAGATGACGCTGGCATGAGATGTTTGGAAGATGTTGGATTTTTGTTACTTAACAGTACAACTTAAAACTAACAAAATGTTAACGTCATCTGTCATCAGTATTCAACATCAGTTAATGCTGACATTAGACGTTGACGTTAAATTTTGGTCACCAAATATCACAACCTAAATTCAACCAAATTTTAAAATGTAAAGACTGTTGTAACCAGCTGAGAGTGTGGCAACAGTTGAATTTCTTTTATAAGTGTAATAGTGTTAACTTAAAATGCTGAAACATGTCTTTGAGAGTAGCATAATTAGCACTAGTCCAAAAAATAATTTGTCCGGTTGTGTTGTTTGTTTTTATTTTCAACTAGCTAACGTCCCTTGCTATTTGTGCTAGCTACATGGTAGCATTAGCAAAAGAAACAACTAACGTGGCAAAAGTATATGTATTTTTTTCATATCAACATATTCTGACAGGAGTTTAATGAATTGTTGAATCTTATTTTAAGGAAAATAAAGCCATTAAAATATACAGTATGTTTTAGAACAGTCCTAAATGTTCGCCCTAATTCTTTATTGTTTTCTAACTGTACTCATACTCTATTTTGGATTAACTACTTTTTATTTTTCATGTAGTTATAGTTTTACACTGGTAGTTTTAGCTCATGATTGCTTCAGTGAACTTAACAGCAATAGTAAGCGACAGTATTTTTATATGTTCTGGTAATCTGTTTAGTTCACAGCTAGAATGAGAAAATGGTGAAACAAAAATAATGAAAGAAACGAATCTGTCGAGGCGACTGTAGCTTCAAAGATTGTGTCAGAAAGACAGCTTTGAAATTCCTTTCCCTGTGTGTAATTTTATATTTCCATGGCCTTAGATTTATCACCTCTCGAGAAGCCATGACAGTTTGTCTCAATGTCGACTACGCACTCTCCATCCATGCAGCACAGAAGCAGCATGTGAGCGGCCTCGAAGCAAAAGTGTCCTCGGGCTGAAGGAGGAGAAGGAGAATTTTCTTTGTCTCCAAACTCCGACACAGATGCTTACCATTAGCATAACTTAGCAGGGAACGAAGGAGTAGAGGAGGTGTAAAATGAGGCCACACGTTACCAGCCGATCTGAGCCTCCATCATTTAACAGCAAAGGCGAGCACCTACAGTAGGTGAAAATGGAATGGAAGGTTTTTCGCTGTTGCCAAAAGACCTGTATTTTTTTATGAATGGACTGGAGAAATATCTGCCAAACGTAGGCTCTGGTTCTGCCAAAACACACCATTTGTACCTGAGAATAACTGAACGTTTGCGGCCAAGAGTTCTTTGATAATGTACCAAAAGGATTGCCAGAAAAATGGCAATTAATATGGAATTATTAGAACAAAAGTTGAGAAGGAAAATTCATTTTGACCCTGAATAATTTCCTTACGTGTATAACAGAGCTGAAACGAAGGACGAATTGTCCTTTTAACGTGACCTTATTGTTTATTCTGTTAAAAGCAAAGATTTTTATTGACTCTGTGCACCAAATACCAAAGAAAATTGCAGAATATTGGAGTTAATGACACAGAAAAAAACAAAAACATTTGCATTCAAAATAGACCCAGTAATTGTTCTAACTGCTGCTACTTTTAAACACCCTACCATCTCAGTTAATCAATATGTAGATAATGAGAGCAATCAAGCAGTGATGGGCATGACATTCTGGACTAAAAAGGAAGTCTCTGTTTTAGTCAGAGGCAATGCCCTTGCTATTGATTTGTGTACCTTGGCACCCCACTGACGAAATCTATTGTGACATTTCCATTTCTAATTTAAGGCCCTGTGCTGCTGCACACATGGAGCTGTTGCTAATAGCTGGTGTGATGCATACAGTTAAACACAGCATTTTTATAGATGTATTTCTGTTAAATAAACTCATGTTGATTCAGTGTTAATTGAAGAAAAAAAAGGCAGTTTAGGATGAGGTGAGCTGCACACCAGAAGTCAGGGGCACGTTCTGAGCCCAGAAAACAAAATAAATGTATGTTTATTGTAGTTGGTAATTAAAGAGATGCTGATTATGATCTCGACATTCAAAACTGAGGCACTGTTTTGACTCTGTAAGCCTTTAACGAGGCTCAGCCATGTCAGCGTCGTCAAAGGTCTCCCCTCAGGAAGTGTCTCTTTGACCTCCGATCGATGACCTGGAAAGGTCAGGCCCCCAGCGAGGGCTGCGAACAACCCCTGAGCTTTGTCATGCCGGGCCCGTGTGGCCCGTCCCCCAGGGGCTCGGCTGTGCGTCAGATGGGGTGTTGGCAGATCGACCCCTGCTCGTACGGCAGCTGTCAGTCAGCCGTGAGAAAACTCCCCAAAACATCCTCCTCTCTCAGCCCCTCGCAGCCGCAGAGACCCTCCAGACTGTGGGTGTATTTGAAAGAAAAATACTCCCAAACCACAGATTTGAGTCTTTTGGGTCATCGAGTGTCTAAATGTTTGTACTCTAGTTGAACCAGGAGTTGATGGATTTCCTTTCTCCGTTCATGATTTCATGTTTTTAACTCAGGAAAAAGGCCGTCTCTCAGCCTGGAACGTCAGTCAAAAATCATTCCCCTCATTGCTGTGGGATGCTGTGGGGACGGCCTCACCACCGCTTTGTGTGCAGTCGCGGTGAGACGGCGATCTGCGAGGCAACCCGAGCCTGACTTCATTCTGACTGACTGGGTTTTCGTCAGAGGCGCAGCCAATTGGATTAGCGTTGATCATGACTTGAGATGATGGCATGTTAATCAGGACTGATCAGGCACTTAACAGCCTCTCAGATGCACCAGGCTCACTGTGGGGCCATAGGTAGAGAGCCCCCGCCCCCCCCCCCCCCCCCCCCCCCTTCAGATCAATGAGCACTGTTGTCGTCGTCTGGAACGTATTGACAGCCAGCTGAAAGCAGATAAAGCATTTATAGGAGCGTGCTGCACACCCAGATTTATGATTGTCATATTTCACTAACAGAGTCCCTGTCAGGAAAAAGGCAGAAGAAATGAGATTTGAAGTGAGCTGTTTGTGTAAGTGATGTCACAGAGATGTCAAATCTGTTGGCGGACGGATGCTTGGAGAAGTCTTTTAACTTCAACTTATCCATCATGAATTCTCTTAATCAGTGACGGCCTGGTAATAATTCATACAGTTACACATATCAGTATCTGTGCAGCAGCGTGGCTGTTTGACGTGGTCTGTACTTGACTACGAAAAGCAAGGGTCAGACAGCTTTGTTTGTTTTTTAATAATATATAAATACCAGTCGTGTTGTCAGGATACTGGAATTTTTACTTTTGATACAACACCTTTAAAAATATAAATATTTAAAACCATTTTTCGATACCACTGGGGGAAAAATGACATTGAGGGCATACAATAACAGGCCTGAAACCTGGAAAAGTCATCATTTCCAGGCCTGGAAAAGTCACTGAATTAGTAAAAATCATTGAAATTTTTGGAAAAGTCATGGAATTTGTTGTGTGGAGGGAAATTGTTATAGTAATCTTTCATGGATAACTCTTCCACATAATTTAACATTAGAGCAAATTTATTTTCTGTAGCTGCTGACATAACTTTGTTCTAATATGCATCAATGTGTGACATTTTGTTTACCATCTCGTACGTTTCCCCATTCTCTCCCCATCTTTCCTCTCCCTCTTTACGTATGCCAGTTTGCTGAAATTATGTTTGAATAGAGTTTGAATCTGAAATGTTAAAAAAAAAATACACCCTGCAAGTAGAGCAAGAACAAAAATAAAATTATAATAAGCCCTTGAAAGTCATGGAAAAGTTTTGAAATTTTGTCCATGAAATGTGTGGGTACCCTGTAATTAATTATTATTTTTTTCTATAACATGACAACTTGTCTCTTCTTTGGTAGTGGCAAAGATCAGCATGATGACTGCAGTAAACATTAACAATAAGAGAGAGCAAGAAAACACAGCTGGTGCCGGTGTATTGATCCTGTGGAAAGAGGGTATTCAAACCATTTTTGAAAATTATTATTAAAGGGTTAATTGCAAGCAGACAACCAATTACCAAAAAAAAGAATACAATATATATATGTACGTATACAGCATGACTTAAGACCTTCTTTTCTCATTATCCTTTTTCAAACAGTGTGTACCTACAAAGTTTCCTTTAACTATTTTACATTTTGAAAGACAAAGCAGCCAGTGTCTTGTGATGGTTTTCTTATCAGCGGATGAAACCATTTTTAATTTTTAGAATCAATACCTATCGATAAATTGGTAATTTTGACAGCACTGATGGCCAGTCACATCATCCACTACAGGTACATAAAGGAAGTGATTAAAAACAGCAGTATTTTCCTTTCAAAATGTGTTAATCAGATTGTTTTTGTTCATGTGAAGTATTTGTAGGAGCTGTTGTAACTGACAATAGAGGTGAATTTCAGTCCAGTGATTGTATATATGCTATTTTAAGGGCTTATTCATTCTGCCAGAAATAACACTCTGCTGTAAATCTATGCAAAAATGCTGAGCACTATCAAGAAAATAATTTGCAGCTGCTCTCAAACCCCACATTCTCTGATACCTGACTTACTTAGATAGGGAGGTTGTTCATCGTCATTCAGTATCTAAATTAGTTTTTCACTTCTCTCCTTCTCTCTCGGGGTGTAGTGGCTTTCCACGGACTGCAGCTGAAGATCAAGAGGGAGCTGCACAGCCCGTGTTCAGAGCTGAGCTCCAACTGTAGTCAGGAGCGGCCCTTCAAACTCCAGTATGGAGAGAAGTGCCCGTACAACGTCAGGTGGGCACCGCATGACACCGACATATACCTCCAAAAGACTTTGAATATTCCTCTAAAGGATGAATCTGTGACGGTTTTAAACTGACCACAAAAAATTGCAGTTGTATTCATTTTTTATTGTTCAGCTCGACATAACATTATTTTATTTATCTGAAAATTACATTTCAGAAAATCTCTTATTTTACGTCCGTGTGTAACCAAAGCACCGTTAGACAAGTGAAATCATTTTAAGTGTTTTATTTTTCTAACTTCAAATGAGCTTGAGCTGATTTTTAATCCATGACATTCAGTATATTCGCATGCTCGTACATTGACCTTGCATACAGCGACAAACTCTTTCATAAGTGATGAATCATATGTGTGATTCATCACTTATGCTCACCTGGTGACAAAAAAAATGCAAAGTCCAACATTTGGCAGCGTTTGCTTTGCATCAAAATCTCCACAGTGTACGCCAAGAGGCAGTGTGACGTTCCTTAATATATCCATTGAAACAAGTCTGAGCACATATTTGATTTAATAAATGACAAAGTGGAAGAACGAAATTGTGGCAAACAAGAGTTTTATAATAACACAGAGAATGTAGGAATTCTTTTTTACCAAACTCCCTTCAAAAATGTTCAAATGTAACATCAGAAAAAGCGCGAAAGCAACAATCCAGTTTGATTTAACTTTATAGAAATAAGTCTCAATCAGTGTTTTGTTTGGCAGTTTGTGAACTCAGAGACATGTTTCTCTGCATGGCGCTCTGAAGTACTGTAAAGTTAAGTCATATGAAATTAAATAACAAAAGAGCCACTATAATTTAAAATCACCCTTTTTTTCATTTCATTTCTTGAGCACTACTGTATCTCTTTTCATTGGTAGAATCTGACACACAACCATGTGGATAAAGCCTTATTCCAGCACATATAAGATACAACACAAAGTATACGATGAATTCTGTGATTCAAAAATGCTCCATCATCATAAAAGCTCATGTCTCCAGAGAGAATCAAACCACAGGCAGTACCAGGAGCGTATTTGACTCTTGTCGTTTTGTGTTTGCCACAGTGCCTATGAGCAGAAGCAGCCCGCAGGAATGAAGCCCTCCAGCCCAGTGACGCCCCCCTGTAGCACCCCTGTGTCCCCCCTTCATCATGCCTCACCCACGGCTGCCCCGACGCCCAAACCAGACAGGACCTACGCCCACATACCGGCCTCACAGCCGCTCCCTGACAACGCCTACTCTATGGACCACAGGTACTGCCGCCCCGCAGCTTTTTATATTTACATCATATTTACATCTGGAGCTCAGATCAGATTATAACAAGATGTAGATCAGAGATTTAGTTACAGCAGAATCTCATTGGTCGATTAGATGTTAAATGGGAGGAGCCTGCAGACTGCAACTAATGTTATTTGACGGCTAAATCTCAATATACTGGAAGACAAATACTCATACAGAATATTTAAAAGCTTTTACCAGATCAACCAAAGATCCATGTTTTCCTGTTTCTGTTGAATAATTTTAGAGGTTTGAAGAGTAAAAAAAATCAGTAATTCTTAAGAAAATAATTTAGATAGGGATAAAAACAAAAAAGTAAAAAGGTATATTTTGGTCTAGCATGAAAACTAGAAGTAGTTTCCGCTTTTCCTGCCTTGTTAAAGATACAGTTGCTATTTTTAATGAAAATAACTATTTGTCATATTTGCTAAAAGACTGTCACTATATTCTTACAGAAGTACATGAGACACATGCCGTAAAACTTCAGTTAAGCGCCCAGTCCCTTATACTAGCCTGGTGTGGCTATACATATTTGCCAGGTGCCGTAAACCTTGAGTGCCGTAACTCACTCTCTCTCTGATGGGCTGTCTGTCGGAGCTAGATCAAACTAATGATTCATAATTAACATATTATGTGCAGCTTATATTCATATTGATTTAATTAAAGAATGTGTTTGTCTTTTCCATCTTTGCTGAGCAACAGTTAAGGCCTGTCCCTAATATAGGCCTGTTGATTTCAGTGATCTAAACAAATAATAGCCTGGGCTACTAATTGAAGTTTCTTGAAAGAAATCATGTTCCTCCTCTTCCTACTGCTTCTAACTGACCGCAGCTTACCAAAAACAACCAATCCGAGCCGAGAAGTATCTAACGCAGTTGTCAAATCATGTCCGTCACTGCTCGTGAACTGATCAAATATGAATAAAGATTCTGTTACTGCATTGCCTTTTTCTCACCTCAGATGTTTTCAGCAACATATTTTAGTGACTGTTTAGCTGTAAAATGAGACAGTTTGCCCTGGCATATGGGCGATGTTTTGTTTTGGCTCGACTGTTTCCAACACTGGGTCACAAACGTTCTCATATTACAGCTAAACAGTACACTAAAATATGTGTCTGAAAACATTTGAGGTGAGACATAGTCTATGCAGTTAACGGAAATGTGATTAATCTTCAATCAGCACTGCCTCGTTTGACAGTTTGACAGCAGTTCACGAGCAGCGATTGACATGATTGACAGCTGCTTTAGAGACTCCTCAGCTCTGATTGGTTGTTTTCATTCATGGGCCATAAGGCCATTATAAGCAGTATGAGTAGGCAGAGGAGCATGATAATCTGTCTCATGCACTTCTGTGTGGATACAGTGACAGTTTCAGCAAATATGACAAAAAGTTGATTTTATAAAAGTTACCAACCACAACTTTAATCATCGCATGAGCCTTCAGATATATTGTGTGACACCTCTGCAGGTCCTGACCCTCAGGTTGGACACCACTGTTGCTTTTTTGTTTAGATTTTCAATTTACAAGACTTCTAATTAAAATCTAGCCATTCATTTTATATACTTTAGGTCCTCAGTTCTGCTCCTCTTGCTCACTTCGCTCAATCTGTTACATTTCTAATCTCATTTGAGCTCGGAAGATCATTTCCGACCTTTGGGAACACTGAATGCGACAAAATTAATTAAGCTTTTTGGAGCTTAAAACTGGGACATAATCAATTAGTCAATCGACACAAAATAATCAGCAACTACTGTGATAATCGCCTACATGGTAAGTCTTTTTTCAAGCAAACAGTGTCACACAGTTGGAGTTGCAGCGATTTATATTGTGGGAATTTTCTGTTAATGTGATAGTAAAGTGAATATTTTGGGGTTTTGGACAAATAACAGGCAATTTGAAAATGTCAGGGAGCAGTCTGTGATGTTTTATAGACCAAAAGATTCATTGATTAATGAAGGAAACTAGTTACAGCCGTGCTTTCAATCACCTCTCATCGTCTTCGAGCTTTTACTTTTGTTTTCTTGAAGTCAGTTGTTCTAACTTGGTCGTCTTTGTCATCACTCTCGTCTGTAAACAAAATGAAGTTCATGGCTCTTTGTGTCTTGCTGATAATGAATCCACTGGTTTTCTCTTCCTCCTCAGATTTCGACGTCAGCTCTCAGAGCCGTGCCACTCGTTCCCCTCCCCGCCGACGATGGCTCGGGACGGCCGGCCCATCTACCACAGGCAGATGTCGGAGCCCAACATCCCCTTCCCTCCTCAAGGCTTCAAGCAGGAGTATGCTGACCCCCTGTTCGAACACCCGGCCATGATGGGCGCGCCGCTACCCCACGCATACCCCGCCACCATGATGATCAAACAGGAGCCTCGGGACTTCACCTACGACTCAGGTGAGAGTTGTTATTTGTTTTTAAAAAAGCACTTGAACTTGGTAAGTGAAGGAGCCGTGAAGAGAGAGCAGCTTGATCTTTCTGCTGGAGCGTTATCATCTCAGGAATGGGAGAAGACATGAGAGGAGGGGGTGGCGTTTATTGAGTTTGCCCATTATTAGGGCAGGGGATCTGGTTGGGCCGGGTGTCTGTGCCGGTCGCCATTTCCTGTGGTGCTTTAATAGAAAAGAGGAAGAGGGGGGTGGGGTGGGGGGCTATGCCTGGTCACAATCCAAAATCCGCCCTCCCACGCTTGTCCGGTCCCTTTAGTTAGAGAGTAAAGGGACCTAATCATCAGCCCACGGCCTCTGTGGAGCCCGAGGCTACATCAGGACATGAATGAACATACGCCGGACTGCCGGGTTCATTCACAAGGCGGACAGAGAGGACCCAGGAGAGGCCGAGCTGGAGGAGAGTCTGTGTGACCAGTCAGGGAGAAAAGCAGCCTCCTCCCATGGCGATGAGAAAAACACTCTGGGCCTCTTTAAGGTCTCGTTTACGTTAGACTGCAGCAGCTCTGCAGCTTCTGTCACCAAGAAACTGGTTGTAGGTGCTTTTGTCACTTTATAATGGAAAGTTCACTTTGCTATGGATGTGTTTCACAACCGTGTGGCTTCATAAACTCTGTAGCTACCATGTCGTAGCCCATTAGCAGGAGCATGTCTCAATAACAGGGCTGCAACTAACAGTCATTTTTATTATTGAATTATATGTTATTTAATTTTTTTATCAATTATTTTGTTAAAACGGGCAACAAAATTTCCTGCAGTCCAATGTGATGTCTCCAATTTGTTTGTTTTGTCCAATCAGCAGTCAAAAATCAAAATATATTATATTTATAATAAGAAACAGAGAATATCTCACATTTAGGGGCTCAAGCCAGCAAATTGTTCATTACATGTTTGCTTGATAATGGCTTAGACAGTTATTCAGTGATAAACATGATAACTTTCTGACAACACTAATTTGATTCAACACTAGTCAGGATGTTAAATGTACATTTCACTGACTTACAGAGTGCAAAAGTGAATTAAAGTTCAGTTCTTTCTTAACTGTCATCATAAGCAACCAGCAGTTCAAAATGTGAATGTTAGAGTTCACTGTAGAGATTATATATATATGTATTTAGTGTTTTGTCCATTACTGTACCGTACTGTACGTCCAAGATGGAGCATCTGAGTGAATTTATTAGCAGTCACAGTGGAGCATGTTGACTGGAGCAGGCCTGTTGGAAAGGATGGGAGGGGAGCTGGTAATTTCATTAGCAGCAATTTCCTCCACAAGCCCATTACTTTGATGAAGTTCAGAGAAATGTTTATGGGCCCAAATGAAGGGCCTCAGTCTGTTTATTGAACATTCACTTTGTAACCTGTTTGGCTGTTTTTTTTTATCACAAGCCACGGCCGTGATGTCTGTGTTGTGGGAGGTTCTGACATCCACAGTATAAATGGAGGAGGCAGTTTGAACAGTGTTGTAAAGTGAACTGGTGAATACAGCTGTCTGTGCAAAAGTTAAAGTAATTTTTAAATAATTACATGATGAAATGTGTGGTTTTAGGGGGGAAATCTTTCAAGGAAGATGATGTTTTGGATGAAAAGCAGTACAGCAGAGGAGAATCCAGGAGAAAGTTTGTTCTCTTGTTAAATCCATGATGTTGATGAAGAAAAGAAATAATAAACAGAAACAGTTTGTTAAAGGAGTCAGAGCTTTGCACTTCAAAAGTTAAGACAATCATCGATATTAGAAAAGCTCTACCAATATTTTTATTTCACCCTGAAGACCCTGAAAATGCAGCGTCAAGTATATTATATTAGTTTTCTCTATAACAATGAATATTAGTTAAAAAAGTCCCAATCAAATGGAAGTTACAGCGTCTTTGCCGTCTGTACTGTGATGTATTTCCCAGTGAAATTGAGTATTTGAGCGGTGTACAGTTAGAAGAGAGATTTAAATCAAATCCTTCACATTTGATTGGACCGCTAAATAGTGGGCGGGGTTAGAGTTTAGCGTGATACAGAGCTACAGCGGAGTCCACTGCTGAGCAGACTACTGGCTTTACACACACCTCCCTCACCGTTAGATCAGGAGGAAGACGAGGGAGAGGTGAATGAGTTAGACCTCTGCCACATTGTGTTGGAAATAAAAACAACCCCACTAGGGGTGTAACGAGGGGTGTAATGATTCATTGATTTGGTGATAAGTGACCTAATATCATCGATGCAGAGTTAAAACATCAATACCTATCGTCAAGATATCGCCTTTATTTTGAAATTCCCATAGCACATCTGTGAAACCTCGTTCCTAATATTTGTATATATTGTATATATTTATATGTCGCCACATATCGGTCCCAGCCCCCTGTGCTAAATCTAGTCAAAATCGTATCCTGGCAGACTTTGTGATATCAGCAAATATTGTATCGTCGTCCAAAGAATTGATAAAATATGGTATAATTTAGAAACTTATGATTTACACCCTGACAGATATCCAAACTCACATCACTTCCTATCACTCTCCATATTTCTCTGTTAGCTAACAGAAAAGTGCAGTTTTATATGACTGGTGAGGCTAGCTGGTTGCTCAAAGTGTCATATTGGGTTGGAAGAACTTTTGTAAACACCCCCGGAATGCAGGATGAGTCATCAAACATTTGAAACTGTTCTTCCAGAAAAAGAAGAGACAGGGATTTTCGTTTAAAAACACTCTTTTTTAGCATATTTGGCATATAAATGATAAGTTACAACTGGGAAAATGTATTTTTCATTTCAGTGGGACTTTAAATGTTCCTAAATCTTGATTGGTGTAAAATACGTGATGTCACTTTTTTTTGAGTGGAGCCCCGCCCACTTCAAACCTGTGAGAAGAGCTCAGAGAAAAATAGAAAGTAGAAATATTTCATGGGAAACAACCAAAACCAGTGAAACTCAGCTTACAGCCCGTAGGCCAAATGTGGCCCGCCATAGGGTGCCAGGTGGCCCCGGGCATTTTGTAATTCACAATGGAAATGAAATAATTAACACTGAGAATTTTTTTGTACTTTGAATGTAAATAAGGTGCCAAAGTGCTTTTAAAAGAACGCATCTAAATAGAGCTTGTTTATTAAAAAAAAAAGAGCCAGGGAGGGTCCCCTGGGCCCCCAACAGAGGTTCTCAAATCCTAGAAACACCCCTGCGTACATCTGACCCGTGTGAGGCTGCTGTGACAGGCTGTGAAATTTGATTCATCTGTTATACAGGCCTGGTGTCAGTCCTTGTGCCAAGTTAATTTAGGTAATAAGTTAATAAGTCAGTTAATTTAAAAATAAAGAAAAAAGCTTTCAGATGTTTAATGTTGATTCATTTTATCTGATTCATGAACTGAACCCTGGCTTTCTGGCATTTTGCAAAAGTTGTCCTCAGGCAAATCAAGCTACATATCCCTGACCTAAACTGTTTTAACTTAAGCAGAAAGTATCCTGCTCATACAGGATCTAAACACTTACCAACCTGATTGAGAAGTTCTCAGGGACTTTCAATCAAACACAACAGCTAATGTGCTGCAGTGACACAGTATCCAGTGTCAAAGTCACCTTCAGGTCTTTGATCTGAAAAGTGTGTTAAAGCTTCATGTTGACCTCCACACATTACGAAGAAACTTACATCATGTCAGCCTGTGTTTTCACACAAGCGCCGTGTTTTTATTCAGTAGTAAATCTTCCTGTGAGTGGAGACGACGCTGGGAGCGAGTATTAGCAGGGTGATATAGTGAGCTCGCCTGTGGCTGGGAGCCATTGCTGGGGGGCATATTCTTTAATCAGAGCCAGTGGTGCATTGAGTGAACAGGCTTTGACTGCTCTCAGATAACTGAGATAGTGTTCTTAATGCTGCCTTCGGGCCCTTTAACACCCACTCTCCCCTTCTTGCCCGGCTTTCAGCAGAAGTGCCTAGCTGCCATTCTGTCTACTTACGGCAAGACGGCTATCTGGCTCACACTAACAGGACTGAAGGTACCAGCGATGATACAAGTGAATGTTGTGATGGTGCACTTTGGATTTGAGCCGACTTGCGTCAAAAGCTCCTGTTATATAATCTTGTTTTGCAGGTTGTATGTTTGACAAAGTGGCGAGGCATTTCTACGATGACACCTGCGTGGTGCCTGAAAAGGTTGAAGGTGAGTCCTCCCCGAGTGCACCTTTTAACATACGACACTGAAACTTGCTCCTTGTGTAGCTGTGTTGAGACAGCACATAGTAAAGGTGCGTCATGTGTCCTGCAGGTGACATCAAGCAGGAGTCAGGCCTGTACCGCGAGGGCCCGTCGTACCAGCGCAGAGGCTCGCTGCAGCTCTGGCAGTTCTTGGTTGCTCTGCTGGACGACCCGTCCAACTCCCACTTTATCGCCTGGACCGGCCGTGGCATGGAGTTCAAACTCATCGAGCCAGAGGAGGTGAGACAGAGAAACACTGCTACTTACAATTAAATCTTTTTGTATTGAATGTTTATAGAATTTAAGATTTGATTTTAAGAGCCTTTATTTACACTTTACAAACAGGGAACAGTATATAATCATAATAATAAAGTTTATTTATACAGCACCTTTCATACAAGAAATGCATCACATAGACAGAATGAACATAAAACAAGCAATTCAATATAAAAGGACATTTAAATGTAATTAAAAACAAACAATAAGATGAAAATAGAGTCTGTAGGAGGCATCACAGCTCCATATTAGCTAAACTTATGAAAACAAAAACATAAATCATAAAATCAAGCAAAACACAACATTTTAAAATAATCGTTATAGCTTTGGGGCGTCACTGACAAAGGCTGCAACCCCGATCTTCTTCTTCTTGTTTCTGGGAACCTCCAATAAACCAGCAGCAGATGATCGCACTGTTCTCGAAGGCTAAAAGTTAACAAGGGAGTTAGCAACGTAGCTCAGTCCCAGCCCACGTAGGGCTTTGTGTACAAGGAGGAGGAGCTTAAAATCAGTTAACAATCAACAAGCAAAACATTTGTGTCAATTAAAAGCTCATCTTTTGTATATGTAAACTACTCTCTCCACACAGCCATAGGAGCACCCCACACATTGCTTATTTATGTCACAAGCAAATGTTTGAATCTGTCAGTGTTTCAGTTTATCACCTTTAACAATTTGTCACTTGTCAGAAAATCGCCCACAGTGTTGATAATTGAAGAAAAATGCCAAATGTCAGCTGCGTCCAGCTTCTTAAAATTAATTTGTTGCTTTTCTCATTTTTATATCTGTCTGAACTGAATGTTTTTAGGTTTTGACTTGGACTCTGGGAAGTCATGGCGGCCATTTTCACTGTTTTCTGATATTTTATGAACTAAAATTTGAATTGATTAAATGTATTAATAATCAGCAGATTAACTGATAATGAATGTAACATTTCTGTGTGTTATATTCATATATTTGCCAGTATGTGAGAGAAAAGAAGTGTGTGATACACCCAGGCAGGATTAGACGATGTCAAAGGTCAACATTTGAAGTGAAATGAAAAATGTTCTCTGCTCTTTAAGTGGTAAAATCATGCCTGGATCTGCTGTGATAGTATTTTGTTATTTTTCTTCTATTTTATTTCTCTACCACATCTATCCAGCTGACCCTTAGGGCCAGCGCCTGCTAAATATTTCACAGGACCCAATCCTAAAAATATAACCTATGTTGACGGTTGGGCCTTTTGAAATGGAAACAGAGGCTGCGTCTGTGTGCCCACATCACACACAGTGGGGCTCAGTCACTGTTGGGAGGATGGAGGAGGATACAGGGTGCAGGCGGGGGGTTGGGGGTGTAGAGCGGAGGAGATAGAGGGGTACCTGGCAGCGGTCCACGCAGCCCGACAGTGTGCAGAGACACGGGCCAGCTGCAGCTAACAGGGGGGCCCATTCATGCCATCAGGTGACCAAACGCACTCGATTTGGGACGCTGCAGACAAACGTTAGCTAGCGGCTTCTGGCTTTTCAGCGGGCAGGTGTAGCGTGTCGGCAAGGACAGACTGCACTGATGTTTTTGGTGTTAGGAAAACAGAGAGATGAACAACAGGAGGAAGGGAAGAGAGGAAAAGTGAGAGCAGACTCTGCGGAGGAGAAGCTGAGGAGAGCACTGTGGGTTTGGACTGCGTGGCCGGGTGGTGGGTGGTCTGGTAGACAGGTGCTGTAACATCTGCTGCCTCCTCCGCTGGGTGTGTGACAAGCTCCTAATGAACACATCCCTGGTCAGGTCTGCTCAGGCTGGACGCACTCTAATTACTGTTATTAGGAAAATATGGATTAATAAGTTTGTTTAACATTTCAGCTGCTGCCGCCGTGTTGTCAGGAAATCAGGTCGGCCGCGCGTGTTTGTGTTTGATGCATCTGCATTTTGGCATCCTGCTTCTCTGCTTCTGTTTACCCACTGTCTTTGTGTTGTTTATCTGTGTGGTACAAAGGTGGCACGTCGGTGGGGGATACAGAAGAATCGACCGGCGATGAATTACGACAAGCTCAGCCGATCGCTGCGCTACTACTACGAGAAGGGAATCATGCAAAAGGTAAAAGAAAGACAACATAAGACAGAGAATATAAACCAAAGATTAAAAGTAAAGAGGGGAAATATTAAAAGAGATTCAAATCTCTGTTCAGCTTTATTTAAATCATGAAAAATCACCGTTTTAAGATGAAAAGTTTGGAGCTCATGCGCATGTTAATGGCCTGATTGATACCACCTGTGTGAAAAGAGGAGCATGTGCACCTCCCCTCCCTGAGGTAGCTCATATAAGGAGGTGGAGCAGCTCAGAAACGGTAAACCTGATGAAGCTCAAGACAATGAAACTTTGCTCCTGCACACTTTAGTGTTAAAAAAGTCATATACTGTGTTCTGGACATCATGGATGATTGGGGAGATTTGTTGTTCCATGTTAGAGCACAAGAAATCAACATATATCACAGTTTTAAAGTAACAGCAAATGATAAAATCCCTCCGTCAGATGTCAATCAAACTGCAGCTTTAAAATGTCACTGCCAGTTAAACTTCACAAAGAGACTTACAGAGTTACTTTCCTTTTGTTTTCGGAGGTGTTCCTGGAGCTGTTTCACCACAGTCCACAATTAGTCTTGATTTTTTCCAGCTGTGAGCAGCTCCTTCGTTTCCTTTGTTCCATGCATTGTGGCTGAATCACACTTTCAGGCAACCAAATAAGGATTTTCTAATCCTTATTTAGTGCGAGTACACTTGAAACTCAAACTCTGCTCACAGTTGGTATGTAACATGGATTTGGGACACGATGATCTCACTGATGGAGTTAAACCTGAGTGTGTAGAGCTTACATGTGTCAGCTGGTAATCAGGTAAACTTCAATGAAGTTTCTTGAAGAAGGAACTCTGTCCACTGCGACTGTGTTTGACTCTGAGCCAGGTGTAAGCGATCTGCAGCTCTGGACCCACATGCAGCTCTTCAGCCCTTCTCCAGTGGCTCTCTGTGGCTTTGACAAAAAATGATATGGAAATGAATGTTGTTTTAAACATTTTAATTTTCATTTATCATTGTTGTAGCCCTAAAGTGATCCTAACATTTTCCAACTGTATAAATGTGTAGACTATACACTGAATTAAAAAACATATTTTAACATCTCATCAACTATGTGCGTCACATGTTTACAGCCTGGCGCCTTTTCCTAAAATTTGCCCAAAATCAGAAGCGATGGCTCGTCTTGAGTCCCCTTAGTGAGGCTAGCTGTTGATTCTAAATCCAAAAAGAGAAAATGTCTCAGAGGCAAATAGAGAATTTCATAGTGAGTGGACAAAATTGTTTGCTTTCACCAATAAGGTTGCTGACACCTGCTCTAAGCTGAGGTGTAGTGCTACCAGAACACACCAGAATGATTTATTTTCCTCCAAGTTACAAAAGAGAATATTTGCAGTTCATGTAAAGCTGTTGAAATTCATACACATTTTTTAAGTGCTTTAAGACCCAATCATGACTCAAACGAATGTCATGCAAAAGAGCCAACAAAAACAAATTTCAGATTAGTCATATTGACATTTAAAGTGTGTTAACTGATTCACAGCGTCACCTCATGTGTTAAGTAACATGAGAAAACGTACATTTTTGGAACAGCTGAAAAGGTAAAAGTTTAAAATGATGTAACATTAGTTAAACAACAATAAAACCAAGCCCACACCCGCCTTGGGCTAGCTAACAGGTCAGCTTCTACGAATGCTAGATAGCTAATTATCACTGATTATGATAGCGTCGGCCTGGTTCCAGGAAAAATGGTTCTAAAATTACTGGGGATGCTCCAGTAGCTACAGTGCAGGCCTTCAACAGCAATGAAAAATTATGTAGGAGTTACGGGTCAAGTGCACAGTCCCCAGTGACCTGATTACTCAGGAACACAGTGTAACAAGTTGTAAACAGGATTAAATTAATAGTGTTGTTGCATTACAGCAGCAGTTTGCTTTATGAGTCAGAATCGCACCTGTCCACTAAAACTCCCAGAGGAATCACTGCCAGATATCACCACCGACTTCCATGAAAGCACAAAACAGGATCTAATAAAAAAATTCTCAACATGTTGAAACTCTTCATAAAATTCTGTCTAACATTAGATTGTGTCAATGAGAGTTAAATACTGTAGACATGTATAAAGGCCAATTTCCACCAGATGCGTGTTGGTTGCGTCTGCGCTCCGGCACGGCAGCGGAGCCGATAGGATTCCATTCTAGTCAATGCGTGTGTTTCCACCAGCTGCGGCTGTGCTGCGTTCCGGCTCCGTCTCAGCTCCGGCACTCCGGAGCCCTCCGCAACAGATACGCAGGACTTCTATTTTTGCCGGACGCTGGAGCACAACGCAGCAATTCAGCACAGAGCAGATCGTGCGGGGCAGGAAGTCGTGCACAGAAACACAATAAAACATCCGGTTAATTTTCAAAATAAAGTACATAGTGTTCATGGCGGATCATATTTCCCTGCACTACACCTTAAAAACTACATAATGGGCAGAGGCAGGCCTGAAGTCAACAGGTCAGAGGTTTTCAGACGTCATTTCACCCCGTGAACACCATGGGCGAGGAGATATTAATCATGGCAGTGCACCAAGATGTCTTCCGGCAGAGCTGCACCGCACCGCGCAGCAAACGCAGCTGGTGGGTATTGACGGACGGCGGAGCACGCAGCAGATAACCAGCGCTGCCGTTCTGCAACGGACACGCATCCAGTGGAAATCACTGGCCACTGTAGGGTTACATAACCTTTGAAGCAAACTATAGTTAAATTGTGAGCGTGCATGCATGTGCACGTCGTACACTGTAAACCCCAGTGCGCTCAGTCAACTTAAATTTTTTTGGGAACAGCTTGCACTCGAAACTTTTAGTTTAGTTCCAACACAATAACATCAAAGTTTTGAGTTCACCAAACCCAAAATAAATGTGTCACATGACCCTCGTCTGACAGGAATTTTATGTCAGTTTTACTTTTTATTGTTGTTTGAGCATTAAATTCTGTGTCATATAAACAAAAAAACATTGAGTGCACATTTCACAACATTTTTTTTTTTTTCTCGAGTGCCAGAATAAGGCAAAGAGATGAGTTCTGAACCAGGAAGTGCTCTTTATTTCATCTCACTAACTGTACAACTTAACTCATGTTGCAAAATGTCCTTTACCACGACATTAACTGTAACTCAATAGAACCATTGTGAAACACAATGTCTCATGGCATGCTGGGAAACTCCGCCCATTTCACCCCAACACACTACAATATGTTAAGTCCACAGTGATAGTGTTTTTTTATTGGCCTTAAACTAATTAGGTGAAATCAGCTTTTGTAAATTTTTGTCACATTAACTCAAAAATTGTTGAATTAACATAAAAAAAATATGTCAAACTCACAAGGGAGGGATGAGTCTTTGTGTCAAGTGAACTTGAAGTTTTTGTCATTTTGACAGTCCGGGGCATTTGTGTAGACTTTACAATAAAATTTGGGGTTTACAGTGTACACTCAAAAAAATAAGCCACTGGTTCACCGTCAAAAAATGAAGGGAACAATTTGCGTGCATCTTCTTAAGTAGTTCCAACTCTGGAATCAGTGAGTCAGTCCTGTGAGACTTTTATAATCTGACAAACTCAGTTAATTTAGTACAACCAACATGCTCTGCTTTGACCTTTTAAGTTGAACCAACCTAATATTTATCCAAAAGTTGTGGTGATACTAAGTGGTCAAATTATTTTGTTTAAGATATTTTAACTTGTTCAATTTAATAACATCCTACTCAAAAATGTCAGAAGTGTTTGTTTTTTATTTTGACCAACTTGTAACAAGTTGTTAACTGACTAAAACCTGTTACTGAAACAAAGTTAATCTTTTTATGCTGAAAAACTTCTTTCTTTTAAATGTTATCTACTGACCTCATGAATCATTTTAGGTGCTCTCTGACACGTCTGACTGTACAAGACAATCATGTGACCATAACCACTATGCTTTATTCACCAAATGTTTTCTGTCTTTGCTGAGACAAACTTGACTTGAAGGTGTTTTTGTAGAGTCACTCTGAAGTTCACGAGGGTTGTGCATGAACTTTAAGAGGTGGAAGAGACCTGAGAAAATGTGTTTTTAAAAATGTGATTAATGAAATAGATCATTTATCACCGTGTGTTGACACATGGATATTTAATGTTTTTACCCACTAGCTGTATTTGTGAGCCAATATTTTAAAAAGATGATTTTTATTTACAGTCATTTATATTTTTTATTTATTTCTTTTTTGTTTCCACTAAGAATATTTTATGTGAAAAGTTTAAAAAAAAAAAAAAAAAAAAAGCATGATGATCATGTTCTGTAGTCTTGGTATCTGTGGTGATTTATCAGCCAGGTTTTCATTTAAAGGACTCCTTGTCTCTGTGTTTGCATTCTCAAAGTTACAAAACACCAAACCTAATTTATTTCTCCCCCTCGTCTGCTCCATCCAGGTGGCCGGCGAGAGATACGTCTACAAGTTTGTGTGCGACCCCGAGGCCTTGTTCTCCATGGCGTTTCCCGACAATCAGCGGCCGGTGCTGAAGACGGACATGGAGCGGCAGATCAACGAGGAGGACACAGTGCCGCTGTCGCACTTTGATGAAAACATGGCCTACGTACAGGAGGGGCCCTACTGTCCGCCGCACCCCTACAACGAGGGCTACGTTTATTAACGTCAGCCACACACACACCTCCACTCTCCCCTCCCCCCCTGCCTCCTCCGTCCATACACCTGAGACTGTCATGTCCTCTAATTCACAGTCGCTCCGGGAGTAAGACTGAACACACACATGCAGCGGAGCTTCCCTTCTCTCTCTCACAGAAACACACACATCCTCTTTTTTTTCTGACGTTGAAGCCGCACAGCAGGATGGAGAGTGCACTTTATGGACAGGAAGCGCGGTGATAACCTGCCAGGGGCTGGCTATGTGGTTGGCTTTGTTTATGTTTGTACATTAATGTGGAAATCATTCTGTTTATTTTTAATCCTATGATTTTGAGCATGTGGCGCCCTGCAGAGACAGGACTCACCGGCCAACTCGTGGTCACACAAGGACCGAATCCTCCTGCGAAAGAAACTCGTCTCCACACAAATCGAAGGATGATCACTTCTGCTCGACTAGTTTGTCCTCAAACAGCCATCCTGTACCTTCATGCTCATTTAAAGTGGCAGCGTATTGTAACGATGCTTTTATGGTGAAGTGACATGATTATAGACTTGAAACAGTAATGTGATAATAAGAGACATTTAGCTACCATCAGTGAGAACTGCCTCGCCGCCAGTTTGATCACAACGCCTGTCGTCTGTCGATGCCCCTCGTCCAATCAAACTGTAGATCTCATCATGTAGGTGTTTTTGCTGTAATGACACAAAACCCTGGATAATTAACTCAGCAACCTCGTGGGTTAGTAAAGTAAAGACACAAAGATGCACCTCGAATTGTACTGAAGAAAATACGGCCTGTGTTTAGGATAATCAATAAAGCTTCAGGCCGCTGTAAAATAACTCATCCACTGTAAACAGACATTTTTCTTTATATTCTGAAACTCATCAGAGCAGCAGTCGTCCGTTTGTCATTTTCAATGAATAACAGGTGAAAGTGTATGTACAGTTAAAGTGGACACAGCAACCAGTCAGTCAACACATTTAGGATTTTATTTTCAAACCCAAATAAAGTAAGATTTTATTGGCTTAATCGTTAAAAAAACGACAAAATAAAAGTCCAAAACTTCCCTGATTTCCTTTCTGTTTTGTTCCAGGTGAACGTGAGGTGTACATTCTGCTTTGCCATCGATAGGGTTGCTTTTTTTTTGTTTTAAAAAAAAGTATAAGAAATATTTAGAGTTTTATAATGTGATGAAAAAACATTCATGTTATAACACAAATAATGTTCCATTGTATAATCAGGTAAATGCACATTTTGTTGCTGCTTCAAATTGTAAGTGTATTTTCTAGTTTAAAGAAAAAAAAAGAAGTGCGGCAGTCACCGTCTGCTATTCTGGATTTTTTTTCTTCTATTTGGTTTGTTGTTTTTTGTTTTTCTTTTGTTTTTTTCAATTTGAGCATTAAAAAAATCTGGTCTGAGTTTTGTTTCTCAGTGTTCACGTGTGTGGGATGGGACCGGCAATAGCAAAACTTCTGTAATAAAATAGCTCTGAAAATCAAGTTATTGCCAACTTTCAGATTTTGTTTCATAATTACTCATCACAAAAGTTTTGTTGCTAAAAACGGTGGCATTTCTTCTCAGTTCCAAGTCTGAGGCAATTTTACACTCAAACTTTCAGGTTTCCCACTGTTTTACCAACCTAGAAAAGTCACCGAGTTCGACAGTCTTGTTTTCCAGGCCCCGGACGAGTTATTAAAATTAGTAAAATTTTTGAAAGTTGGGATAAGTAAAATGCTTGAAACTCTTGGAAACATCATGGAATAATCAAAATACTTAAAAGTTTTTTAAAAGTAATGGAATTAGTAAAATACTTGAAGGTTTTGGAAAAGTCTTGGAATAAGAACAGTTTTTGAAAGTTTAAAGTTTTGGAAATGTCATGGAAATAGTAAAATACTTTAAAGTTTCAGAAAATTTGTGGAATTTGTAAAAAAAATTTAAAAGCTGTGGAAAAGTCATGGAATTAGGAAAATTATTTTAAGTTTTTGAAAAGCTATGGGATTGGTAAAATACTTAAAACGTTGGAAAATTTGTGGAATTCGTAAAACATTTTTGAAAGTTTTGGAAAAGTCATGGAATTAGTAAAATCCTTAAAGGTTTTGGAAACATCATGGGTTAGTAAAATTCTTGTAAGTTTTGGAAAAGTCATGGAATTAGTGAAAACCTTAAATGTTTTTGAAACATCAAGGGATTAGTAAAATACTTAAAAGTTTTGGAAATGTCATGGAATTAGTAAAGTCCTTGAAAGTCTTGGAAAAGTCATGCAATTTAGTTGTGTATAATGAAATTAATTAGGGATGCACCGATTCATCAGCCGCACATCGGTATCAGCCGGAATTCACCTTGTTGACTACCATCGGCCTCTCGGCTGATGAGACTCCATTCACTGACGGCAGCAGCCGATGTTTTTCAGTTGTGTCACATCAATTGTTCACGGGCTAAAAAGCAGGGCTTGAGACTAACAGCATCTCGTCTTCCCTGTGACAATAGAAAATATGTTTGGGGCGAACAAATCTTACCCGTGACACCGTCGGGACAAAAGGACACAGTAAACTCACTATCGACATCAGGGGATGCTCCCTGTTTCCATGACAATGCTACGCTGTGAGCAGTAAATAAAACTAACTGCTGATGGAGGTTGCGTTAAATTACAATATGATGCCTTCAAGCTCTATCGAGTAAAAATGAGTGTTGGGTGAAGATAAATTAAAATGTCATGAAATGTAATCTTGTAAAATGTAGATTTTGGTGAGAAATAAATACAGTTGTACGAACTCACAGTGATATAAAATAGATATTATAAAGCAGTTTTTGTTTTTGAAATATTTTTATTACGAAAGGAAGTATTTTAAAGGTTCTTTCCTAAATTTGTAAGATTAATCATGTGCTCATTCAGAGAGTGTGATGAAGAGCTGAATGTCTTTAAAACAGTTTTACGGTGATTTTTTTTTTTCCTCCATCACAAAAGACACAATTAATAAAAAAGAACAAAATAACCAACAACAACATAAAAATCATTGGTATCAGCCTACAATTTTACAGTCGGCGCATCCCTTGAATTAACTGTTACAGCACTGTTCCGTGGAAAACCTTTCACATAATGCAACATAACGAGACTAATATATTTTCCGTAACTCATATGTTGCTTTAATATGCGCCATTTTCACGTTTCTTCATTGTCTTCTATCTATCCCTCCATATATGCAGCTACATGTAGCTGGAATTATGTTTGAATGGAGTTTGAATCTGATGTGTTTGAATAACTCTGTGCAACTGGGGCAAGAAAAATAATGTTGTGACAGTGTGATTTAACATGTAGGGTCATGAATCTCACAGTTTCCAGACCTTTGCCGCATGAATACTTTTTAACTGGACCATATTTTTGAGATTGAGTAATTAACATGGACAGTGTAGGACATTTGTCACTTGGAGCGTCACTGGCCCTTTGGTTTGGTTTTAGCTGCTCTGAATGTTGAGCGTGGTAGTTACGAAGATTTTCGAAGCTTCTTTTTTTTCTTTTTAAAACAAATTAAGCAACACGCTGATCGATCTGTCAGCTGTCACTCCCCCACTCTGCTGCTCCACATGTGCCTATAATTACATATAATTATATAATTAACATTTGGAGTACTATAGTGTACTATACAGTTCTGTTTGTTTTATACATTGTGAATGATCGTGGAAATTTTATTATGGGTCCTTGAAAGTCATGGAAACGTTTTAAATTTTTTGTCCATGAAAATATGCGGGAACAATGAACTTTATCACTTCTCTGTGGGCTGAAAAGAGTTTCAGGTCATAAATTTACATACTGTAAGTGAAAAAACGCCAAACAAATGTGTGTCTGTGTGTGAGAAGACTAATAGATTATGGACTCTTGTCAATTTCCAGGTTGGAGAGAAAACTCCCAACCACAAAGCATTTAACCAAAGTGACACCTGAGGAAAAATCAATGGCTAATTTAAGACACCACTTTTTCATGTAGGTGAATTGTCTCTGCTCTCACAAGACTGGCAGTAATGAAAAAAACCCACAACAGTAACACTCCCTTAAAGTTATTATTTCCTTCTGCAAAGTGTCACTATTGCTAAAAAATCAATGACTAATTTAAGGAAGCATTGTTTAATTGGTTCCACTGATGGGAAAAATGAAAACGGATGTGTAAGTAATGAAAAAACACGACTTGCCTTAATTTGTCAGAGCAGGTTACGAGCCAACCCCATTACAGTCCCCACTCTTAGATTTTTTTATTGATTGTGTGTAGAGCAGGGAATTGCCCTTAACTTAAAACACCTGATTGCTTCCCTGAGGATATTTAACAACATCTAATCCGACATGTACAAACCAGAAAACAGCAGTAAAGCCTTTAATATGATGAATGACACTTCTAATTTGGATTTTCCCCCATAATCTGAAATAATAACCTCTGTGAGAAAATACTGTGCAAACATTATATTATGAAAAGACTACAATAAACAACATCATCTAGGTTTAATTCTATCAGTGCACAGGTATTACAGGTCCTTAAAAAGTCTTACATTGAGTGTTACAACAAGGCTTTAATAGTAATAAAATGGTCTTAAATTTAAGTTTGTGAGGTCCTAACTACTACAAACATTTTATCTAATTTTGTTAATCAATTTTTAGATTTATTTTTGTGAAAATACTGAAGTCTTTCCATGCAAAAGTCCACATTTCTAATGTTACAATTGGTTTTAAAAAGCATTAAACTTAACTGTTTGATACCTGTAGACACCCTGGTGCAGTTTGACCAAGGAGGCTCTGATACTGTAACTCTTAACATCATTTCTAATATTAAAGACAGTCGCTCAGTTGAAGCTTCTATTTGAGGAAACTGGTCCTTTTCTCTGTATTTTTGAGGAGTAATTTAGGGGATTTTGAAGGGTTTACTGCCCACAACTGAAACTTAAATGTGGCAGATATTTTCCAGGGTGTTTATAGTATATAATATTTAAAATTTAAATACTAAATATATAATATTTAAAATTTAAATGCTTTTTGGCCAATAACAGTGATCATTTTCCAACCAGAAGTATATCACTGGCTTTGATACAGTGCTTAGATCGTCCCAAAAATGTGATTTAAGTTTTTCATGCACTGGTGAGTTTAAGAATTTGGGCTCCTTTGCTACCGTAACATGTCGTCTTTCAGACTAGTGGAAAGAAAACGTCCAAAAAACACATTGAGGTGTTTATTTAGTTCAGATTTCTGTGCTAGAGTTGTGCATATTTAATAAAAAATAATGCCTCATTTGCATATTTTTACATTCAATTTTCTGGAAACTTCTAATACAAAAAATACATGTCTTAATGTTAGTAATCAACTGGGGAAGTTTCACGCTGACATCTAGAAGTTAAACATTTTTACCCTATTCACCTGAAGTGTTTTAGTTTTGGTCTAAAAATAATAGCTACACATCTTTTTAGATCATTGTCTATGAAAACCTTCATCAAGAGTGTTCAACACCACCAACAAACATCTTTCGTTTGCTGGATATGTGACATGTTGCACAGGCTGTCACCTGTGCACACCTGTGAAATGGGTGGGGCAGTTTATTTAAGCTCAGTGTTAGAAATATTGGTGTTGAACACTCTTGACCAAGGTCCAGCTGGACCGAAACGTTAATAATAAATTGTGACGCTGAGCAGGAGCAGTGTGTGTCTGCTTAAAGACTCAAGTGATATTTTCCAGCACACCTGCATCTGAGACAGTTGGATGTGTGATACCTTTCAAACTAAGGCCATTAGTAAAAATGAGTTTTCTCTCATACTGAGCCAGCAATCTTCACTGCAGCAGCTCCTACACTCACCAAACTTCACAGTTTTATTCCTGTCTATGTTCTCAAGGTTTTCACACAGGGGTTTGGTCATACATCTTTTTTTGTGGCTGTTGACAGTATCTTCTGATTTAATACATGATAAAAGAGAGATCCCAAATTCCTTCTGGAAGAACTTTTGACTTTTAATATGTCAGTGAAATGAAACAAGAATTTTGAACCTGGCTTCATCCAATGTTCAGATTTTTGTTTAGCATGGAGTATTTTACATTACTTTAACTCACTCATCTGAATTTGTAAGAGGAAGGTGGGGGAGGTATAATATGTTGAGGCCATGAAGGGATTACTGAACTGGGCCTTCACCTGCACACACTCACCCAACCAGGGAAAGACTTTAAGAGACCACTGAGAGATGAGGAGGAACTGCTGAGAGACACAAAACAACTACAAAATTGGGCAAAGCAACTAAAAGAAGACAGAAAACAACTACATGGAGAACAAAAATGACCATAAAGAAACATAGAAAGATGCGTGTGTTTTGCTTGTTTGTAGCAGAGGTGGTGGGGCCCTCTGCCTGTCTGTGCCCAGGGCCCCACTGTCTCACAATCCACCCATGGTCAAAGGGGACCTCATTGTGTCTAAAGTCCTGGTTCATGGCCGTGCGCTCAGCCTCTGAGGCTGCATGTGGTTTGACTTTTGCTGTTC